CTGGGAGATCCCCATGTATGTTTACTTTGGGACTACGGATTTGTATTCCGGGAGATCCCCCTGCACTTTTACGTTAGAACTACGGGATTGCACCCGGTAGATTTCCCCAGTATTGAGTATTTATATTTGGGACTACGAATGTGGTATTTCGGTAGATCCCCGCGCATTTATGAGTTGGACTACGGGACTGCACCCGGGAGATCCACTGGATATTTATATTTGGGGACTACAGGACGGTATCCTGGGAGATCCCCCGGTTGTTATCTCTGCGTTGAGCTGTATTTGTTTTTCCATGATTACTTTGTTTCTGTCAAAGTTGTTGTTGTTCTTCTATCCTGTGTTACCTTTTTACTGTTGCACTTAAGCACACCGTCTTATTCTACATTGTTATTATATCTTGTATTTCCTTTAACCTCAGTAAGGCCCTGACCTTCCTCGTCACTACCCGACCGAGGTTAGGCTTGGCACTTACTGAGTACCGCTATGGTGTACTCATGCCCTTTCTGCGCATGTTTTTCATGTGCAGATCTAGGTACTGCGACTCAGACTTATCACGCTTGAGGCGAGGCGCTTGTAGAGACTCCGAGGTATATCTGCCGTGTCCGCAGACCGAAGAGTCCCTTTCTACTCTTGCTTTAAGTATTAGCCCTTCTGTTTCCTTTCTTTGTTAGATATTCTGGAATTAGATACTATTTGACATTCAAATGCTTGTGATCATGAGATTCCGGGTTTTGGGAAATGTTATTAGTTTCGAGAGTTGATATTGTGTATGCCGAGCGGCATTTCAGACACTGTTTTATTTCACTATTTCGGTTCTTAATTATTTCTTCCGCAAGTTTTGTTTATTTTCCGCATTGTTAGGCTTACCTAGTCGTAGAGATTAGGTGCCGTCATGATGGTTCACGGAGGGCGAACCGGGGTCGTGACACTAGTGTCATAGCTAATGAGTCAAAAGCACGCCTAAAGCGTGGCAGACCATTGGGTTTTCTAAGGATCGAAATCCTAGAAAAAGAAAAACAAATGATCAAGATGATACTAAGAAAGAGTGTCATGAAGAAATCTACGATTTAACCAATCCTGAGATTCACGAGGAAATCACTAAGTATGAGACTCAAGAAAATAAGGAACTATCAATAAACCCAATCGATATTGAGACAAATTTGAATCGATTGGATATAGTGGTGGATTATGTCTTTGCATACAATATTGCATCTAGCATTATGCAAAATAGTGAGGATCTTGAACCTCAATCTGTTGGAGAACGTCGACAGAGACGTGATTGGCCAAAGTGGCAAGAAACAATCCAATCCGAGTTGGTTTCACTTGCGAAACGTGATGTTTTTGGGCTTGTATTCCAAACACGTAATGGTGTTAAGCCTATTGGCTATAAATGGGTATTTGTACGTAAAAGGAATGAGAAAAATTAGGTACAAAGATATAAGGCACGCCTTGTTGCACAGGGATTTTCACAAATACTTGATATCGATTATAAAAAGATGTATTCTCCAGTTATGGATGCTATAATATTCCGTTATCTCATTAGTTTTACTGTCCATGAAAATCTTGACATACATTTAATGGATGTGGTTACAGCCTACCTTTACGACTCACTTGATAATGAGATATGCATGAAAGTTCCCGAGGGATTTAAAATGCCTGACGCACATAATTCAAAATCCGGGGAAATATTTTCAATCAAATTGCAAATATCTTTGTACGATCTAAAGTGATTATGACGAATGTGGTATAACCGTCTTAGTGAGTATTTATTAAAGGAAGGTTATATAAATGATGCCATTTGTCCATGTGTTTTTATAAAGAAAACAACATCAGGATTGTTGTGCTTGCCGTATTTGTTGATGACATAAACCTTATTGGAACTCCTATAGAACTCCAAAAGGAAATTGATTATTTAAAGAAGGAATTTGAGATAAAAGATATCGAAAATACAAAATTATATCTCGGTTTGCAAATTGAACGTTTGGCAAACGAGATTTTTATTCATCAATCTGCCTACACAGAAAAGGTATTAAAACGGTTTTACATGGATGGAGCACATCCATTAAGTACTCTGATGGTTGTTCGATCACTTGATGTGAATAAGGATCCGTTCCGACCTCAAGAAAGAAATGAAGAGATTCTTGGTCCTGAAGTACCATATCTTAGTGTAATTGGTGCACTAATGTATCTTGCTAACACTACAAGGCCTGACATAACTTTTTCAGTTAATGTCTTAGAAAGGCATAGTTCTGCTCCTACAAGGAGACATTAGAATGGAATCAAACACATATTGCAGTATCTAAAAGGGACTATCGATATGGGCTTATTTTCCGATTGCGGCCCCGATCCTGTCGGTAATGCCGATGCTAGATATTTATCTGACCCACACAAGGCTCGATCTCAAACGGGCTATGTGTTTACATTTGGAGGCATTGCCATATCTTGTCGATCGACTAAGCAGTCAATCCTGGCTACTTCATCTAATCATGCTGAGATAATTGCTATTCATGAAGTAAGCCGAGAATGTGTAAGGTTAAGGTTTATAATACATCTTACTCGAGAAAAATATGGTTTGAAGTGTGACAAACTACCCACGATTTTGTATGAAGACAATGCAACATGCATAGCCCTATTGAAGGGAGGATTCATAAAAGTAGATAGGACAAAGCACATTTCACCGAAGTTATTTTTCACATATGATCTTCAAAAGAATGGTGATATCAATGTGCAAAAGATTCGTTAAAGTGATATATGGCTGATTTTTTCACTAAATCTTTACCGACGTCAACCTTCAAGAAGCTAGTGTACAAGATTGGGATGTGAAGGCTGAAAAATGTGAATTGATGCTCTCATCAGGGGGAGTTAATACACGTTGTACTCCTTTTTCCTTACAAGATTTTGTCCCACTGGACTTTTCTTGCAAGGTTTTTAATGAGGCAACCAAAAGACGTATTTCTAAACATGTGTACTCTTTTTCCTTCACTGAATTTTTTTTCCACTAGGTTTTATTTTGGTTAAGGATTTAACGAGGCACATTATCTGTTGAATAGACATTCAAGGAGGAATGTTATAAATATAATTATATTTAAGGTGAATGTCTATATTTTAGAGAGATACTAGGGTTTGTTATTTAGTGGCTAAGCCACTTTTTCCTATAAATAGAAGTGTTCTATTCCATTGTAATTCACCCCAAATCAATAAGAATTATCTCTCTTTCTTTGCAATATTCTTATTTATCGTTTCATTACATAAGCAAGCTTTTAGACCCCAATGACGCATTTTAAAGCCGTGCGAGCCTAGGTCCAAAACGGACAATATCACTTGTGGGCTGAGCTGTTAAAATTATATTGTACTATATTATTTTGATGAATATTTTGGATAATCGTTTGCCGTCGTTTTATTATATCATGTCCCAACAATATAAAGAATAAACTTGCATTATTACAAAGAAAAAGTAGGGTATGAGGTATAATTATTATATAAGAAGGTTGGGTAAAGGATAAAATATAATTATTGAATAATAAGGAAATGGCAAAATGAGAGACCAAAATAAGGTAATGACACGACCACACCATATCGATCGTTACATCAAGTAACACTTTTCGTTGTTACGTAATGACGGATTTAAGGAAACGATAATAAAATTTAACTAACAATCAAAAACATATCAATATCATATTTAAAAGGGTAAAAATCATTTACATCCCAAAGTTTATTCTAAAAATCAAACTCATCCTTCAACTTTGAGTAATTGTCATTTTCATCCTTTCATCCTACACAATATCTATTTTGTATATTGTTAAAATCGATGTAATATCTATTTTAACAACATGTAATATCTTTTTTATATTGTTTAGATATTTTTTATGCAGATATTTATTCATAAGTTAAAAATATTATATCTTATGATATATTTAATCAAAGTTCACTAACATTATAAATAAAATAAACATATTATGATTTATTACAAAATATATTGCTACCTAATTATTATTATTATTATTATTATTATTATTGTTGTTGTTGTTGTTGTTGTTGTTGTTGTTGTTATTATTATTATTATTATTATTATTATTATTATTATTATTATTATTATTATTATTATTATTATTATTATTATGCATATAGTGTATGTCAGGTGTGCGTATGATTTTAAGTTCCACTATAATTATTATTCTCTATGTGTTTATGAATTTTTGACTTTTGATCGTTATTACTAGATGTTTTCTAAATTATAAGTAAAGTTCATGTAAAGTGTAAATAGATCATTTTTGCAAATTTATTATAAAATTTACCTTTATTTTTTTTACCAATATTTTTTACTATCTCCATTGTATAATTAATTTATAAATTTTCACTCTTTTTTATTTTCAATTTTGTAAATAGATTGAGTTTTGATTGCTATTAATAAAATTACTGATACGAGTAAATTATTTATTGTAGTTTTTTCTCATTTATTTCACTATTGAACGTCATTAACTTATATGCTTGACTACTACTTCTCACTTTTTTGGGTTTCGAAAAAAGTTTGTTTAATTTGTCTACAGGTAAGTCGATAATACAAATTAAAATAAAAAATGTTACTGTATTAAAGAACAAAAATTAGAGATAAGAATTAGAAGGTAAAATAGACATTTTAAGAAGTCACCTTTGATATGAGGATCAAATGATAATTGTTCAATAGATATTACATCCAAAGGAACTGTAAGTGAAAAGGGTAAATTTGACCTTAACTAGTTGATATTAAGCAATTTTGCTGTTTGTTAGAGTTTTGGTTTAATATTACCTAAAACTCTCATTTTTTACTTTCACTCTTAATTGAGCTCCAATCTGAGAATGGTTTTAAACTATGTTAAAAAATAAAAAAAGATAAATATGGACATCTTTTGTCGTGGAATTCATCTATTTTCCGCTGTAGCTCATTAGTATAACCAGTTGATAACAACGGGACTGTAATGGTTGGTCAAACAGAACAATAGAATAATGTTTAAAAAAAAGATTAGGGAGGATACAGAAGTCATTACAGTATTGAGTTTCCGTTAAGAGAACGGAGAGAGGACAGATTTTCATTTCATTCTTCATTTTCTTTCTGCTTTAATTTCTCTCTCCCTTCAATTCTCTTCTTCTTTTTGCTGTCTCTTTACTTTGCCCGTTGTAAGAAGAGAACCCAAAGCTCTCAACAACAACAGCTTAATTCACAAATCACAATCACACAGCATTTTGTTTCCTTTCTCACTTTCTATTTACAGTAACATGAGCAGCGTGCGCATTGCACATTACCACCTGGTATGAATCCCACCACTACTGCTGACCCAACGCAACCACCGCCACCGCCACTGCCACCGCCGGCGCAGCCTCCTCGTTCCTCCTTCAGCTGTGACCGACACCCACATGAACAGTTCTCCGGATTTTGTCCTGAATGTCTCTGCGAACGCCTCACTACTTTAGATCCTTCTTCTTCTTCCTCTACTAATAATAACCCTTCTTCTTCTTCCTCTGTCCTCAAATCCCTTTTCTCTAAAACTTCTAAACCCACTTCATTTTTCCCCGAACTTCGTCGCACTAAGTCCTTTTCCGCTTCCAAAAACGAGGCGTTAAGCTTCTTGAGTGGTTCTAGTTTTGAGCCCCAACGTAAGTCCTGTGACGTACGAGTCCGTAACACTCTCTGCTCCTTATTTTCCCTTGACGAAGACACAAAAAAGACCTCCTCCCTAAACCCTCATTCTGAGAATACTGCTGATGCTTTTGTCAATAGACCCGTCCTCGAGTCTAAAGAAGAAGAGGAAGACGAACCAGAAAACGATAACGCCAACCACAGAGATAACGGAAATGTGGTAAATGAAGAAATAACTGAAGAGTCCCCTGTGGAAAACAGTTTTGCAGAAATTGTGGAAGAAGAGGTAGTGAATGGAGATATATTACTAAAGCCGATGAAAGATCATATAGATCTCGATTCTTCGCAGGCGAAAAAGCAGACTTCAGGAGGAGGAAGGGACTTGAAGGAAATTGCAGGAAGCTTCTTATCAGCTGCTTCAGTTTTCAGCAAGAAATGGCACAACTGGAGGCGAAAACAGAAGGCGAAAAAACGAAACAATGGTGACAACAACTCATCTACTACACTCTCATTGGAGAACCCCATTTCGAGGAGGAAATACAACAACAGGGACACTCAATCGGAAATTGCTGATTATTATGGATTCGGAAGAAGGTCTTGTGACACTGAACCTCGATTTTCTCTCGATATTGGGAGGATTAGTGTTGATGATCCCAGGTACTCTTTCGACGAGCCACGAGCTTCTTGTGATGCCCATTTTGTCGCGAGGAGCCTTCCGAGGATCATCCCGCCTATGGTTTCAGTGATAGAAGATGTGCCAGTGGTTCATGTTCCACGGGCTGATGACCAAATTCCGGTGGAAGAGCCGCGTGTTTCAGTGAGCTGCATCAATGAGGATGGTGATAGTGATATGCCTGGAGGGTCTGTTCAGACTAGGGACTATTACTTGGATTCGTCGTCCAGGCGGAGGAAGAGCCTTGATAGATCTAACTCAATTAGGAAAACAGCAGCTGCTGTAGTGGCAGAGATTGATGAGATGAAAGCAGTTTCCAATGCTAAAGTTCTGCCTGAGAGGGACTCGAATTCAAATTCAAATTCCAATTCTCTAAGGGATGATTTAACGGAGACTTTTGAATTGACAGGGTTTAAGGATAATGCTTCTGGGATTGGGATTGGGGAACGTAAAGGGTCAAAAAAATCGAAGAAGTGGGCGTGGAATATATGGGGTTTTATACATAGGAAAAGTAATGGGAACAAAGATGAGGAAGAGGACAGGTATAGTAGATCAAATGGGGTGGAGAGGTCATTTTCAGGATCTTGGCAAGACATAAGGAGGGAGACTAATGGTGATTTAAGAGGGGGTCTTAATAGGAATATGTTTAGGAGTAATAGCAGTGTTAGTTGGAGGAATTCAACTAATATTGGTGGTGGATCTTTTGGTAATGTGAGGAATCTTGGCATTGATGCTAATGGTCATGGTAAAAAGAAAGATGATTTTGTGTTGGAGAGGAATCGGAGCGCAAGGTATTCGCCTAACCATATGGAAAATGGATTCTTGCGGTTCCATTTTGCTCCAATGAGAGGCAGCCGGAGAAATTTACCTGCGCAAACTAGGCCAAATGGGAGGAGCGTGCTTCGACTGTAGTGATATCCAAGGTCCTTGGTGTTTCTTTTGATTAAAATGTTAATTTTGTCGCATTTGTTATTATATATCACTTGTGTTATTGTATTTTTTGACGATGCATTTGTCATAAGTTCTTGGATTTATTCTAATATAACCTGAAAAGTATTTTCTTTGGCTCTAGTCCTTTCTTCTTGATGTCTATCTCATTTTCTTTTTGTTTCGTTCTCAATGAATTAGCTTCATGTCTTAGTTGAGTAAGGTAACTATATCTGTATATGCTTGTTTTGGATTTGGTACTTTTTCTTCTTGTCTTTTACTTCTTTTTTCCTTTTTGCTGATTAAATTTGTTTATTAAATCTTACCTCCTAAATTCCATGTTCACCTGTATATTCCATTTTCCTTTTTTACAATAGTTCCAATAAAGAAAATGGTGACTTAACTGTCATATTTGGCAGTACGACAGTTAAGGATCTGCAATCTCACTTGATACCAGTTTCATGGTGCTTCAGTTGTCTACTTATCTGTCTTCCAAGTTTTATGTTTGAATCCTTTCTTCACATATTTAACCGCCAGGATATGGCAATCTCGCCCGTGAAAGTATGCTCCTACAACTTGTAATTATATCCTTGAAAACTTTTATATGAGGAACTGAAGATCCACCTCCATGAGTATATCAACTACAGTCAGAAACAAATCTGATTTGACTATCTTAACAATGACCTGAATTTGCAAAAAGTTGATGGCTAACTTATTGAGATTCTGGATACATGGAACTCCAAGCTATTTGGAGGTGTCACATTGATCATTGTGATTCTGCTTAATACGAGTGCTATACTTGCTCGGTCTCTGGATTACCTTAATACAAGCCTTCACTTTACATTAGTGATTTCATGATTGTTGCTTGTTGAGTTCATTATTGTGTGTTGGTCATTGTCGATAACTCTTTGCAGAGTAGTCCTTGTCAAGGAAACAAAACGTAGTGGATCACCCACCCAAAAAAGAAAAACAATAATGTGGTTGATCAAATGAGCATTTTGACTTTGTTAGTTTTTAGGTAAAAGCAAAGTCACACAGGCAGTGTTCTGCTTAACATGAAGTTGTATAGTTCCCTGTTTGTACCTCATTGGAACTGACAATTATTATTTTCTCCTCATTTTACTTCCTCTCAATCCAGGAATCCAATTTGAGGCTCTGGGTGTACTACAAGTCAGTTATCTTTCTTGGTAACAAGCGTGAGACTAAGTCAGTTCTGTTTGAGGTTTTCGCATGGACTTGTTGTTAAGAGGCTCTATGGTAGTTCAATCAGATAAGTTTGGGAGTAATCCAATTTTCTTGGGTTGTTTTCGGAGAACTGATATTGACACGATATGGTTGTTACCAACAAACTTAGCTGAGAGTATTGGATGTCAAAGAATCAGATTGCTCATTTTGGAGAGACTGTAATTTACACAGATGAAGATTCAAATAGAGATTGAGTAGAAAACCTGAATCTTTCTTCCTTGGACGTATATAAAAGTTTATCTGAATTGGTATATGTGGTGTACAAAACATGAGCTTGGTCCGTGGATAGCATTACAGCTTATTTCTTGATTGATTGGGGTCTGTATCTTTTGAGGGGTTATTGCTTAATTTTTGAAGTTAATAAATTTGTGCATCTGTGGCAATGTAAAGTCTTACTAGAGTAGTATTATTTTTCATCTTAGCTTGTCCTTCTCTCTTGAATCTTGATAGACCTTCTGCAATGGTATCTAATACTATCTTGTATTTCCCAGCTGTAACTAATGCGGCACCTGCATATAATTTTTAACTGATTCTCAAGCAATTTGTAGCAGTGTACAAGTGTAGCAATGTACAGTCAGGATTTTTATTTCTTGAACAAAGTAAAAGTTTGGCCTAAGTTTTGAAGGGAATGCAGGACTTTGCTGCTATAGGCTACAGGTGTGGCTTAGTTGTCAATTAATAAAAACCATGGAAGGCAAGGCAATTTCAATAGAGACAAAATACTTAAGGTTATTTCATTCTATCTCTCTAAGTTTTGGCGAATATAAATATTTGATACCTTTATTGGTCGGAGGTAGTATGTCCTCCATGAAATAGTTGAGATATACTCTCCGTGTTTCAGTTTATGTGAATTTATTTCCTTTTTGGTCCGTTCTAAAAAGAATAACTCCTTTCTAAATTTGGTAATAATTTAACTTAAACTTACAATTAATGAGAAACTTTTATAACCACACAAACATTCTGGCCCCTTTTTGACATGTTTAGAACCGCACATTCCAAAAGTCTTCATTTTTTTTCAAACTCCGTGCCCAGTCAAACAAGTTCACGTTAATTGAAACGGAGGGAGTAAATGACCTAAGCTTCAATCTCAGAGAAGTTCCTTATAAAATTCATACCATTGTTCGTTCGCTGTACTTGCCATAGTCCTTTATTCGGTTAAATGGGCGGGTCGGATCAGATATAAACGGGTTAAATAATTGATAGTAATTCAAAAACGGATAATTATCTGACCTGATCCATATTTAATACGGATAAAAAACGGGTTAATTAGCGGATAATATGAATATCCATATTATCCATAGCTTCTTGAATACGATTACTTTTTAAAGAATTTTCTAGTCTTTCCCCATTTTGAGGCTTTACAAATGTAAAAATTAAACTTATTAGTTATCCATTAGTTATCCATTTTCTAAATGAATAATATGGCTCTTATCCATATTTGACTGGTTTTTAAAAAATTCATTATTCAACCTATTTTTAATGGATAATATGGGTGGGTAATTATTTTCTTTTCACCATTTTGCCACCATATCGGTTAGTGATGATTATGGTCTCACAAGTTCATATAAGCTGAGTAAAAAAAAGTAATAATAGATTTTTACTGTAGTCATTTTGAAATTAAAGTATACGATATATTCATGCACTGGCTTGAATTAGGTAAATATCGTAATTTCATCAGCTCCGTGTTTATTTTTGAGAGAACATAAATGGACAAAGTAATGATTATATCTCAAGTAGTGAGGTGTTTTACTCATCTAAATGGGAAATCAAAGTAATCAAGCCGGCCAGCTCCAAAAATTCTCTTGGTTAAAAGGTTCAATGATCAAAATATGCTAACCAAAGTCAAAAAGTGACAAAATTAAAGAACAAATCTTTAACATGCCCTCCTCATACAATTCAATAGAAAGGAAAGATGAAAAAAAGATGTAACAGAAGAGGCTCGAAATCCTATGGCATGTCGACTTTTTCTACCCATTAAAACCTCCTCTATAGTGGAAATGGCTGACAAAGATTTTCTTGAAAACATTAGGGATTTGCTCCCTTTTTCCAACAGCCACTAGGGATGTTTGGATCAATGTTTTAAAAGACGGGGCGTGAGGCGAGGCGTTTTACTTCTGATGAGGCGAGGCGTATGCCCTGAGACATGAGGCGTAAGTCCCACAGATCTTTAAATTTTATTAATTTCAAGAATTTTAAGATAGTATAAAATAAAAAATAATTATAAAAATTACATCAAAATCACAAAATTATAACAAATAATCTATTTAAAATATTTACAAATTATAATTCGACTATGAATAATACGAAAAGTATGACATATATCATAATATGCAAATTAGTTGCAACGTCATTATAACTCAAACATCAAAAGTAATGTATTCGATATGAAATCTTATATGTATCTCTTATGGAGTAATAAATCTTGAAAGAATTTCAATATTATAATTTGATATTTACTTAAAATACTTCTTTTATTTAATATGCTTTCTATTTGAGAGAGAATTTATATAAAAATATAATTCATATTAAATATGATTCTCTAGCATCATTTATTTTTAAGTTTCGGCAAGTTAATAAAATGACACATAATTCACCATACAATATCATGATAACTATTTACACTAGCTAATACTGAGATATTAAATTAATAATTATTTTATCTCGTATACGTGAAAAAAATAATTATAAAAGAAATTATTGACTAGTATATAGTAAAGACGAAAACAAAAGTTAATAAATAAATACTTTTGAAATGAAAGATTATTTAAAATTTGCTATCATAGCAGCCTTAGTGGATAACGTGCAATAATATTTATTTTAATTATGACATAAAATACTCTCAACTTAATGATTTATAAATAAGAAAAAAGTAATTTTGAATAGTCAATGATATGTTAAGAAAATTTGAGGATTTACAAGGTTAGTTACATACAATTGCATAAGTTCTATTAGGCGAGCCAGTACCCTGGGCGTTGGGCGTGTCCGGGGCGTAAGCTCCGGTGGCCGAGGCGTAAGTCTCACGGAACTAAACCCCACACATAAACCTAGGGGTGTTTTATGAGCGCTCCGCCCCCGGGCGAGCCCCGGACGAGTTCCAATTCTGCCTTTAAAAACAGAGGTTTGGATGGGGTCTGCATAACACATGGAAATCTTTACTGCTCTTTTCCTTGATTTTTGATTTTTACTAGGACTCCATTACATTTACAAGTGCTTTATGTAGAGCTACACTATTTATTACGTACTTTCTAGTCGTTAAAAAAAAATAATTTGTAAAACTTATGATCTAAAATAAGCTATAAATATATTTGTGGCAATAAAGCATCACATTAAAGGTAAAATAGGGAGAAATTCAAAAATAGCCAGATTTACCACTGGTCGTTGAAAAATAGCCAAGTTTCAAAAGTCATCGAAATTTAGCCACTTTAAATCTGAGCGAAAATACTGTTCAAAATCCAGAAAAATACGCCCGCAAATTTTACGGGAGTTCCAGCATAAGTATGCTTGAACTCCCGCAAATTTTACGGTAGTTCCAGGATAACTATGCTGGAACTCCCGCAAATTTTACGGGAGTTCAAGCATAATTATGCTGGAACTCCCGCAAATTTTACGGGAGTTCCAGCAAGTATAATTGTCCAGTATAATATACTGGAGTTTGGAGCACCAGTGCTCCAGTCTCCCGCAAATTTTACAGGAGTTAGCAAAGTATACCGGTCCAGCATAATATGCTGGAGTTCGTACACAAATGCACCAGAACTCCCGTATATTATACTGGACCGGTCCCTGTTGCAGCAAAATAGTAGCTATATTTCATTGACTTGATAAACGCTGGCTATTTTTCATTGACCAGTATGAAAACTGGCTATACCATGATATTTTAACGGTAAAATAGGGCGTATCAGATTAAATTATTTTTAAATAAATAAACGTTTCTGTTTGAGACAGGCTAAAAGAAAAGAGTGCCAAATAAATTGAGATAAATGGATTATTTATTTCATACTTTTTATGTGATAGTATTTGATTGAGCACGAAATAAAATAGATTTTTTTTTTGGAAAAAAAATCAAAATTAGCCAAATTTACAACTGGTAATTGAAAAATAGCCACAGTTTCAAAAGTAATCGAAATTTAGCAATTTTTTCATGTAAATGATAAAATCTGAACAAAAACACCCTTACAAATCCGGAAAAATTGGAGTTCGAATCATATGAGATTCCAGTATATTATGTGCTGGAACTTCATAATGCGATACTTCCAACATAATATGCCGGAAGTTTATACGTAGGAGCTCCATAATTCAACATATTATGCTGGAACTTTTTGTTTTTCAGCGAAATAGTTGCTATATTCCAATAACCTTGCAAACACGACCTATTTTTCAATTATCCGTCCGAAAACTGGATAGTGTGTGCTACTTTAACAATTTTTTTTGGGGCACTTATGATCTTAAATACGTATGGGCGTGTCTCCAAATTGGAAACTTAAAACTTCTTATTTAAACAGTTAAAAGGAGCCAATTTTGTACCGTGAAACAGTTGTTGGACTGGATGTAGGAGAGTAACTTGAAGTTCTTTTGCATGCCCATTTAGATGAAGCTCTAAAGGTGTTTGATGATATGTTTGAGAGAGGGTTGTGTTCGGAAATAACCCGCTTCAGTGTTTTAATTGATGGGATTTTCAGAAATAGTGATTCTTAAGGAACTAAGGATATTTGGCAGCGGTTGATAAGGGGATCACACGTGTTGCCAATTGGTTTCTTTAATGAGATAATCAGTGGTTTTTGTAGGTTTGGCAAATTTAACGAGGAATTGGAGCTTTGGGGTAGGATAGATTAAAGAGGATGGATGTGTTTGCTTGTAGTTCCTTGATTCATTTGTTGTGTGGACTGGCTATGTTAATGCGATTGAAAGTAAATGCATACTCAACCCTGAACAAGAATATTGAATTTACTTGATGTTGTGGTATATAGTACACACTCAATAGCTGTTGTAAGGTTGGGAAGATTAGAACATGTTCTGAGTTGTGGGAGCTGATTGGAAGGAAAGTCTGTAGCAGTCCTAGTAGTTACAATATTAATGAGAGGTTGGTTTGAGGAGTTTCACTTTGAATTTCTTGACCGAGAGTGGTTCTGTACCTAATCCCACATCTTTTGGAAGTTTAATTCACGGGTTGTCTGAGAATGGGTATCTGAAAAAGGTTTTGACTTTGTTGAGATATGAAAATGATGGAGGAGAAATGGATTCTTTTGCAATTCATCTATCATTAGTGGATTATGCAGTGAAGAAAGCTTAGATGAAGCAATTACATGCTGGATTTGATATCAAAACGAGAAATAGACCGAGGATTTGATTCTCAGCTTACAATGACCTGATCAATGGTTTATTCAAGCATCTGAAACTGAGGATGCAATCAGATTTTTTGGTGAAATGAACACTAAGAAGAGCTCATCCACTATTCTGTGACGACCCGACCCGTCGTCTCATGAGAACCGCTCCGTTTCCCCCATTTCCTGCTTCGTTATGCTTCATTATCAGTGTCTTGTGTGAACGAGTTGA